CTCATTAAATAATTAATACACATGTTGTTTTGTGACATTGGTTGTCACTCCTACGACATGTCAACACTCTCCCTTTCTCAACCTCGGGTTCCCTATTACTAGCTTTCCTGTCCCCTCCTGCCTTCTCGTCCTTCCCCGGGGCTGGTGTACCCATTTAGTCTCGTTTTGTCTTATGGGCCTGTCTAATCTCTGGCTGAAGGGTGAACCTCAGGAGTGACTTCATTACTGAGCTAAAAGGGTGTCCAGGGGCCATACTCTCGGGGTTTCTCCAGTCTCTGTCAGACCAGTAAGTCTGGTTTCTTCTTGTGCGTGTGTGAGTTAGAATTCTGTTCTACATTTTTCTCCAGATCTGTAGCCTATGATTTTTTAATTAGAAATCTGAAACTCACATACAATTTTACAAAATGGGATTAAACAGGGAAGGAGATGGGATCAGAGTGGATTTTTCCATGATTCAGTCATATGTTCTTCTAAGGAGCCAAGTGGAGCGATGGTGACGCTGCCCCCGTGCCTGAAGCCAGGCTCCCTGGGTTTAACAACCTCCCCTCAAGGTTAAGTGGGATGCTGAGGTGGCGAGTCAGTCATTTTTACTCACTAGTGCACTTGAACCTCCCGATTATAGATAGCTTCTTGTCTAAAAAGCAGGTTCAGGCATAAGGAATACTTTTCTGGAGATAACTATTGAGCATGAAAAATCCCACAGAGCCAAGAGGCACAATGCTGCTCACTTGAAACCTTTCCAAACCCAGCACCAGGGAAACGGCAGACAAACAGAACCAGACTTGGTGTTTAATGCTGAGAGCAGTTCCAAGGACACTGCAAGAAATCACTTCAGATAATGTTGCACTTGTGTGTATCAAACGTGTATTTGAAACCCACTTTCATCTCTTCTGTACATTGCCCTTGATGAAAAACAGCTGCAGACTTGGATTATTCCACAAGGACAGAAGTACATTATCTGAAGGTTTGATGATACAGCACATCTTAATGCAATCAAACCAGAGTTTATAAATATGTCCAGGCAGAATGGAAGAAAAGCCATCACTCTCACACCTCAGGGCTATAGAGGTCCCCCGAGGGAGATCCATTTCTGGCCTCTCCTGGCCATCATCTGAAGCAAAGGTGGGGGGGTGTTTCCTCCAGGCTACAGGATCAGAGCCGTAAACTCTGCCGAGAACCGCCTACAAACCAGAACCCCTTCTCTCCTGTCTGAGCCATGACTCCAGGGAAACATTCTGTCTTGGTGGACCTCCTTAAACATTTGATTTCAATCACCCTGGAAACATTAAAGGAAAAAAAAAAAAGCCCAGCAACAGCAAAGGAAGGCTTATTCATGACTGCAGGTTCATCAGCTCTCCCTGGCTGCTGGGACAGAAGTGCGCAGCACCTGACCTGCGCATCACACACCTGCCACATTCCATGTGAACACTCAAACCTTCAAGCCTACTCCATTAATCACCCTGCCCGAGAACCTACGAAACAAAGTTCACATTACTCGGAGAGCTGCGTGAAAGGGCCTCTGAAGTCAGGACACAAGACCGAACAAAATGAAGGGGCCCACCACATCCATCATTTTGTAATCTGCTTCCAGTTCCATAATCCCCAAATGTCTGGGTCTGAACATTTCTCTTCAACGCGGATCAAAATGATTCGTGTAGAAAAGGCTCTGACCACCCTCCAATCCCCAAGGAAATCATTAACCATTTCTACAAGTCAAACAGCCCTGGCACTGAAGACATCTGCTCAAAGCAAATGGCTGGGGACTGAGACATTTTAATGATTCTATCATGAAGGTTTCTCCAAACACCATAAAAACAAAATTTGATTTGCCCTAAAATAAAGAATACGTTGTTAACTTTCCACGGATGCACAAACTCATTTAGATCGGGAAAAGGAAAAGGATACCATAGCTATCACTGCACTGAACTGTTTAATAACGAGTTCAAGGAAACAAAAGTTTCAAATAAATAATCAGGACGATTAGACGCATTTAAAATGATAAAACATACATTGCATTTTATATTACCACAGGATTACTTTTCATTCAGATTTCAAAACATGTTATGACTATCTCAAGAGAATACTCATTTCACAAGGAGGTTCAGAGACATCACATGAAGGGCTTGACGTCACACAGCTGATGAGAGGGTTAGGCTGAGAGAAGCCCAATCACACTCCTGTTCTCTCACCAAACTCAACCCAAATGCATTGCCATCAAGTCGATTCTGACTCATAGTGACCCTAAAGGACAGAGCAGAACTGCCCCATACGGTTTCCAAGTAGCGGCTGGTGGATTCAAACTGCTGACCTTTTGGTTAGCAGCCAAGCTTTTAACCACTGCACCACCAGGGCTCCGTTCTCCTCTCACAGTAGGTATTATTTCCAAGATTTTATGCTATAAACCTCCTAATTCTCTCAAATAATTTACCATAAAGATTGCACCAGAAGATAACTTTATGCCATAAACCTTCCAATTTGCTCAAATACTTTGCCTAAGAGATTCATCCTATAGATCATGTGACTGTTATTACAGGATTTGCTTATTTCAAAGCATACTTCCCTAGACTCCTGACACACACATAGTTATGGGACAAAGCCGAGACCTGAATCCAAATGCATCTTATTCCAAGCATCCCAAAATACATCAGTTGCCGTGGAGTTGATTCTGACTCATGATGACCTCATGTGTCTCGGAGTAGAACTTGCTCCACAGGATTTTCAATGGCTGCAACTTTACATATGCAGATTGCCAGGCCGTTCTTCCGCAGCACTGCTGGGTACAACAGAATTGCCAAACTTCCAGTTAGAAGTCAAGCATAAACTGCTTGTGCCACCCAGGGAACCTATCCCAAGATGTATCACCTGATATTCAGGAAATTTTCAGCATTCCCAGTCCTCCATAATAGTTAACCTTTTGAGCTCTTTGTATCATTCTTGTAACTTCAAAGTGTGAAATTCTTTCAGAATAAAAAGTGAAAAGAGGTAACCTGTTATTACTCATTGCCTCTAGAAGGGAATGGGAAATGGTTTTCGACAAGGGGCAGGAGGTGATGAAGGTAGGCACGGTGGAGGCAGGGTGGCAAAGGCATCATGCCCTGCTGTGGCAGGTTTTGGGGGAGGATGGAAGGGAAAGTACTATATGGTAATGATCCAGACGTCAGTAAGAATACTGGTTTTTTTCTTTAACTCAGTCATCAAATTCTGATTCAGTATCTCCTCTGTGCCAGGTGCTGTGCTGGGGACTGGCAGTAAAGAACTAAGAACGTAAAGAACTCAGTCTGGACTCAGTCTGGAAAGGGAGACAGAGATGCTAACCAGTAACATGAAACTATGCACCAACAGCCACAATGCAGGCATCTAAACGGTGCTGTGTGAGCCCCAGGAGGCGTGGAGGATACTTCCCAGAGGAGGAGCCATTTGTGCTGAGGTCTCAAAGTATGAGTTTTCCTGACAGAGAAGAAAGGGAAGGGCCATCCAGGCAGAGCATATTTCCAAAGGTATGCAGGTAGAAGAGATCAAGGTGCATCCTGGAAACGGAAGACAGTTCTCTGTGGCTGGAGCATGGGATGCAAGGTAGCAATGGTGGGACAACCGAGATGACGCCGGAGATGTAATTCTGGGTCTGCCAAGAAATGTAGCCTTTGGTCTGTAGGTGGTGGGGGCCAAAGGTTTTTAGGCCTGGGAGTGATAACATCTGTGATAAGATCACTTTGGTGTCCTGTGGAAGATGGAGTGGAGAAAACCAGACAGGTGGCGGGGAGGCCAGCTGTTTTGAACTCTACTTGGAAGGACCCTTGCAACTCGAAAGCTCTTGGTGACCCTCTGGTCTAATTCTCCATTTCACATGTGACAAACCAAGGCCTAGAGAAGAAACTTCCACAAAGCCACTCAGCCACTGAGTAACAGAGCAGGTTCTGGAATAAAGATCTGTTGGCTACTGCAGGGTCCCTTCTGCCTGTCTAGACAGCCCAAGAAGAATGAAGAGAGCTAAAGTCTGGGTTCAATAGTAGTGGCTTCAAGTTCATTGGCTGGTTTGAAAATAACAGTAGGTGAAAGAGTGAGGAAATGTTCAAAGCATTGTTTTTGACATTAGTTGTGGATTCCTGTTGTCTTATGTACCAGATAATTAGTAGATGCAACAAAGCTTAGTTACAGAGTAAAAAAAGCAAAAACACAGACAAGAGAATAAAGAGGGAAACTATAGAGGGAAAAGTGCCTAGTTGCCTTCTAAATCAACCAAAGTAATCAAATACTGACTATTCACCCGTACAGGAATTTAAACTCATGAACAAAGTCCTTCTTGAGTAGCTGGGATCAATTCTTTCCTAAGAGCAGAGGGTCACTACTTTAGCTATATTTATATTGTCTAAGACTACTTTAGCAATAATGTCTAAGAAGAAAGCCAGTTGGCAAAAAATACTTCATCCACAGAACGACTATTCACAGGGTTAGTTCCCAAAGATAGTGATCTATGATGACTATCAAAGTCACTTTTAACTGAGATTATAAGCCGAAGACCCTACCCCTGGAATTTGGGGATAAGGAAGTAAGTCTCTTGTTTTCCAAAAAGCTCCAATCTGCAAGTGAAGCACAAAGTTCTTAAGATATGAAAAACCAAACAGCCCTCCTGTATTCCTCTCATGATTTCACTCCAAAGAAGATGATCTATATCAAGAATTTATTTTCAGGGTAGAAACAGGTTTTCTGACACCTGTGTTTCTCCCAAAGGGCCCTTCAGACTTCATATCTGAGCATGAACGAGTGGGGTGTTAGCAGGGAACTCGGAGGCACCACGCCTGGCAAAGGCTCCTTCTCATGATGTGATTCATACTGAACTGCTCTGTTTGAGTTAAAGTGGGTAGCGGGCCAGGGGAAGAAGGCATCCGTGGTCTTCAAAACTGCATGTCAACAGCTCCATGTCAATAGCAATATGTTTTTCAAAAACAGCTCTGACACCAACCCTGATGTCATTCGGTGTGCAAAACCTAGAGGACTCTTACCAGGTACTGAAGTCGCTGGCGCTCAGTCTCGGGGGTGAATTCCGAAGACATGGGGATGATTTCTCCACTTCTGATGATTATGGCCCTGAAATGGTGAAAATGTATCATCAACAATCAATCCTATAAGTAACCTGATTCTGTGATAACCATAGCTTGGTTCAGACCACACATGAAACGCCTGGGAGACACCCTCTCCTCCGACCTGCATGGAAGAATTCACTGTTATCAACTCTGGACAGTTCACCATGGTGTTGTTGTGTGCCGTCTAGTTGATTCTGACTCATATCCTATATAACAGAGTAGAACTGCCCCATAGGGTTTCCTAGGCTGTAATCTTTACTGGAGCGGATTACCAGGTCTTTTCTCCCAGTGGAGGTGCTGGTGGGTTCGAGCTGCCGACCTTCTGGCTAGTAGCCGAGTGCTTAATCACCGTACCACCAGGGCTCCTTCTCACCATGGCGCAGGCATCTCTATTTTAAGCACATCACATTCTAGTTAGCGTATGTTTACCTCTTCGGCTAGTTTAGCCTTAATACCCTAGTGCTGAGCACAGTACCTGGGCACATGATTGATGTTCAGTGAATAAATGGACAAATGAATGAGTGAATGATGCAACAGAGACTCACCCTAGACCTGTGCTATCCAATAGAACCTTCTGTGATGATGGAACTGTTTTTTATTTGTGCTGTTCAATATGGCAGCAACTACCTAGATGTGAAGGAGTCCTGGGGCACAACGGTTAAGTACTAGGATGCTAACCCATGAAAGGGTAGTGGTTTGAACACACCCAGACCTGGTGATCTGCGCCCATAAAGATTTATAGTCTAGAAAACCCTATGAGCAGATCTACTCTGTCACATGGAGTCACTGTGAGTCTAAATTGACTCAGTGGCACCTAACAACAACAGCAGGATGTGGCTGTTGAGCACTTGAACTGTGGCTAGTTGAGGAAGTGAGTTTTTAATCTTATTTAATTTTAATTAATTTAACTTTAAATTCAAATAGTCACATGTGGCTAGTGGCTAATGTATTAGTGCAGCTCTCGACCGTTTAAACTCAAAGTGCCATGGACCAACAGCAGGGACCTCACCTGGGAGCTTGTCAGAAATGCAGAATCCCAGGTCCCATCCCAGATTTAACTGTATCAGAATCTGCATTTTAATAGGATCCCCAGGTGATCACATGCATATTAAAATCTGAGAACCCTGAGCCTAGACTCCTGCTTTTCTAGGGTAGTATCCCTGGTTCAGGCATCTTAAAGCTCAAGAAACGCAACAGACACCCCAAAATTGCACCCAAGAGCTGCTGCCGACTCAAGGACTTTTGAGAGAACAGCGCTCCTCAAAGCATATGTCTGAAGGAGAAGCTGCAGGATCAATAACCGTAGAGCAATCTTTCCTAGGCCTATTCCCAGTGGTGTTTCCTGTTCTCAGACCTCCTAGTTTCCGACAGCTCCTGACAGCTAACCTGCCAGCTATTGATTGGCTGTGGCAGAACGTTGCCATTTCTACGACAAATGGAAGTGGCTTGGGGAATCGCATTCCATCTGAACCCAACAGCTCCCTGGCACCTGTGAGCCAGAGACCTGCGGGCTTGACACATTTCTCTGCAAAGGCCCACAAACATGGGAAATGCCTCCAACGCGCCCAGCCCGGGGCCAATGCCTGCTCGGCTCTCGCTTACTTGAGAGGAAGGTATATTCTTTATGCCTAGAAGCCCCCTGGGTACTCCTTCCCCCCACCATAAAGGCAGCCTCTGACTTATAAACAATCCTTATAAATGGCTGCAGCTGTCGTGACCCCCTCCCCCAGTCCCGCACCACCTGTGCCCCAGTTGCTGCTGTCACAGAAACTGGTGGGGGTGGGGGTGGAGGAGGAGGGTAGGCAGGGGAAGAGATGACAAAACAATCTTGGGGGCTTTAGAGAATTTATGTGTCTAGGAGAAAAAATAGTAGAAGCTGTGAGAAACTGGAAAAGTTTAGGGGAGCTGACTCTAGAAAGAAGATGCCTCTTGCAGTAATATTCGTATCTGGGTGTCTTTCACTTCTTTTATTATGCCACCTAAAATATGACAAATTAAAGATTCCTTCTTATAGATTCAGAGCCACTTTTACAATGCAATCACCCCTAAGAAAGATGATACCCACCATTCACAAATTAGTGCAAATTAATTCAAATTGCTTTCGTCCTAATTATCAGCTGAGAATAACTATAATAAGGGAGTAGGGGTTTTGACAGAGGACAGAGAAAAAAAGAGAGCTTGAAAGGGGGCCAGGAAGGTCTAAGTTAGGAAGTAGTCTTAAAATAGTAAGACGGGTCCTGAGAACCTGAGGAGAAAGTCCCTATCTGATAAATTCCAAAGGCAACCTTCTCTTCCAAAATTTTGCTTAAAGCTAGCCTTTACTCTTTCTTCCCTTTTTCTACCCTCCCCCATTAAAAAAAAAAAAAAACACCAAACCAAACCTGTTGCTGTCAAGTTGAATCCGACTCATAGCGACCCTATAGCACAGAGTAGAACTGCCCCATAGGGTTTCAAGGAGCAGCTGGTGGATTTGAACTGCTGATCTTTTCGTTAGCAGCCGAGCTCTTAACCACTGTGCCACCAGGGCTCCCCCTTTTTCTATATGCCACACTAATCCCAGCTTCCAGGCTCTGGCTCAAAATCTATTATGAATTTCAAGATGGTGACAGCAGAGTATTAAACCAAGTGTGGAACCTTCTGAGGGTGGAGTCCTGCATGACTGCACAGGTCACATGCCCACGAAGCTGGCCCTGATTGTAGGCACTTAATAATATTCACTGCAAGAATAAATGGCTTCAACAACTGCATATGCTGATAAATCCAAATATTCTTTCCAGCCTACAAATCTCTACCATGCTCTAGCCTTAAACAGTCAACTGTCAATAGAAATCTCCACTTGAATATTCACACACATTTCATATTTAGCATGGTTCAAACTTAATGAACCTATCTTCATCATACTCCCAAATCTGCCTTCTTCCAGCATTCCCTACCTTGGGTGAATGATACTACTTTCTACCCAGTTGCCTAACCCAGACGCCAGGGAGCCATTTTAGCCTTCTCAGTTTTCTTACTCCACACATCTAATCAGGCACCAAGTCCTGCAGAGTTCATCTCCCCAGTGACACAAGTATCGACTGCACTGTTAGTGCCTTGGTTCAGGTACCCATCAGAGCAGAGGTTGCCTGCATGACTCCAGAGCTCTCCACTGTTCTCCCTGACCCTGTTCTGCCTTCCTCTAGACCCATGCTCATACGGTCACAAAGAAGATCTTAAAGCACCACTCTTACGATGTCATATGCCCTATCAAAAGCCTGTCAGTGCTTCCCAGCACTTCCAATTTCCTGGTTCTTGCCTATACTCCTGGCTTTAGCTTCACTTTTGTTATTCTCTCCACATCTCTCCTCCCTTTTTCTGGGCAACCTATTCCTCGCTGAGATTTAGCTCAGAGGAATGCCTTCCTGGCCCACCTTCGATGGCCTTTCTCTGGGACCCTATGATGTTGTATGGCTAGCTGTACCACAACCCTTTCCAGTCCTCCTTGAGACTGCTGGCTTCCACAGCTGTCTCTGACTACCTTGAGGGTGTTTTCCAGGCAGAGCCTAAGTTATTGTCTCTGAATCTCCAATGCCCGGTGCCTGGCCTGTGGCAGACAGGCAATAACTGTGGCTGATGAATAAGTGATTCAATGGATGAAGAGTGAGCTGGACTTGAGTGACTGGATGGAAGAACCCAGAAGCGAGGGCCCTAAATAAGACTTTTCTTATTATAACATTACTACCGAAGTAACCGTCTAAAAATCACACACCAAAAGAACGAAGGGGATGCCGTTCCAACAGAAGTACCACTAAAAAGTGACTCAAAAGAAAAGGAGAAGCTAGGCAGGTGCCCCATCATTAGTAGGGGCAGGAGAGGGAGAATGCATCCATGGCGGTCAGTAGCATCTCCATGTTTACTGTTTTTTTAAATTTTGAATACTCATGAAAGGAGTACTGCATTCAATTTCAATATTCACTGCTGGGATAAGCCTAGCTAATTACCTTTTTAAACAGATAATTATATCCAAATCCACCTATGTACGGAACATTCCTCAGGTCTGTTTGAACAACCAAGTTGTTCCTTTATCAGGCATCCTGGGGATCAAAGATGACTGCACATTTGGCTGCCAGCCTTTCCAGTCCCTAAATTGTGATGCCTCTTCTGATACGATCCTTGGCTTCCTTTTGATCTCTCTCATACCTCTGATCCCGGAATCAATTTGTCAGAATGCTGGTCTCCACTCTGGAGTCGGGCAGTGAGAGGGAAGGGAACAGTGTGCAGGTGAAAGCTGACAAATCGTGTACTAAACAACCAATAAGGCAGAGAAACACCTTTAGAGCTACAATCTCTCATCATAGGACCCTGAATACTTCATACCTCTACTTCATTAGCATACTTGAAGAAATGCTTTTCCTAAGGAAAGTTTTGAAAAGCTGTGGGTAGCAATGAGGGCCAAGGAGAGTAAGACACATGCTCTCTTCTGGGGCTCTGGGTCTGGACTTGTGAATATTACCATGGTCAGAATCCGGATTATATTCCATTTATCTACCCAGGGTTAAAATAAACAAACCAGTTGCTGTAGAGTCAATTCTGACTCATGGTGACCCCATATATGCCAGTGGGATATCTGGAGAGTATGGTGAAGGAGTAAAACAAAGTAGATAAATGGCAAGAAAGAAATTGCTTAGGAGACAGAAGGGTGAAGAGGTGTGAGTGTGTACGTGGTGGTGGGGGCAGTGGTAGGCAGAGGGACTTGTTCTTAAGCGTATTTCACAAAGTTCAGGTCACTCATTCACAGAGACTAGAACTGAAATTTACATGCCTTAATTTTGTGTCTAGTATAAAGATGGAGCATTAACTGCCATACAGTAAATAAGGTTTAATGCATTCTTATGAGTCAACTGCAAGATCTTAACCTGAACTATGCTGGTTTAAATGAGGTAGTGCCACATACATGCACATGTATACCAGACATACACTAAACTGAAATAGAGATTTACCTTTTACCTATCTCATAAGCTAACT